TCACAACAGCTAAACTGCGGAACCAACCTAGATGCCCTCCAGTTGATGAATGGATAAAGAAAGTGTGGTGTATATATACACAATGGAATATTACTCAGCATTAAAAGAGAATAAAATCATGGCATTTGCAGATAAAGGGAGTTAGAAGAGTACAATGCTAAGTGAAGTTAGCCAATTCCAAAAACCAAATGCTGAATGTTTTCCAATATAAGGATGCTGATTCATAATGGGGGTTGCAGGGGAGCATGGGAGGATTAAACAAACTCTACGTAGAGCAAAGGGGAGGGAGGGAAGGGGAGGTGGAATTGGGGTAGTAAAGACAGTTAAATGAGATGGACATCATTACCCTAAGTACATGTATGAAGACATGAATGGTGTGACTCTACTTTGTGTACAACTAGAGATATGAAAAATTGTGCTTTATATGTATAATGAATTGTAATGCATTCTGCTGTCATAAACAACAAATTAGAATTAAAAAAGGATTTAAAAGAGAACATTTAACATGATTTTAACTTGTGAATCAAAGTGAATTTTTAAATTTGTAAAACAAATATTTAATCAATGCTTATTAAATAATGTTTGTCAATTGTGGAGTTTCTAACTTGGGGCACTTGCATTATGTGTTTTATTAACATGTCTAGGTGAGAAACACATTATTGGTATTGGCTTTTATATTTATCTTGGCAAAGTCCTTTTTTTTTTTTTTGTACAGGGGCTGTGGATTGATTCCAGGCATGCTTAACCACTGAGCCACATCCCCAGCCCTTTTTAAAAATATCTTAGAGACAGAGTCTCATTGAGTTGCTTAGGGCCTGCTAAATTGCTGAAGCTGGATTTGCTATCCTCCTGCCTCAGCCTCCTAAACCACTGGGATTACAGGACTGCGCCACCAAACCTGGCTGGCATAGTTGTCTTAATTTTGAAGTCTTACATGTGAGCAATAAGTTTAATAATCCAGAGACTGAAAAAAGGACAAACCCATTCCATCAGTCAGGATGAAACAGGTACCTTATAAAGTAGGGCCTGCCCTCTAGGAGAGCTCCCAAATCAAATAGAAGAGGTATTTTCAATCTAATGGGGTACATCAGAAAACCTACTGTTTTCAAATTTTTCATAAAAAAAAAACTTTTAAAATTATTTTAAGTTCCTCAAGGAAGATTCTATTTTCCAACACTTTTCAACTGCCATCTGCAGTAGCAGTAAGAGGTTTCCACGGCACGGTGCTCTAGAACACAGCTTTATGAACCTTCAAAAATCCTTTGTCTACACAAGGAGGTGAGCAGCCTCTGGAGAAGCTCATTCTCTCCATAAACTCAAAGTTAACTGATCTAAAATGAGAATGCCAATGTAGCATTATCATGAGAAAACTAAGCAAGCTGGAAGTCTGTGGCTAAACTGCAGATACGCCTTACATTCCTAGTCTGCAAGGTCCTTAGAGAAAGGTTGAGTCAGAACCTGGTAAGCACTTACCAAGAAGAACACCAAAAACATAAAGATGACTCAGACAATTTTAAGCACTATGGCAACTTAGTATTCTCTATTCTTGAGCCAAAAATTCTATCTCAAGTTAAAATTCCACAATGAGTGGGCCCTGACCTATAATTGGAGAAAAGCCACATTCTAACAAGTTGGCTATTTTTTCTAGATTCCAGGCCCTCGTCTGTAATTTAAAACAAAACCTTTCCTTTATTTAAAAACAGGCCCATTGCAGAAAACATAAAGGATTAATGATCTAAAAACTAATTCCCCTCTATTTCCAACACATAGCACTAACATCTTATTTTGGAATTACTCCAGTCAGTCCAGACCTTTATGTATGCCTGTTTTGCATCATGTTGGTTTTACCTTCAAAGTCATACTTTCCTGTCTCCCCAAATCCCAGGAATGAACTCTATTTGGAACCTGCTGGTATCTCATAAGGATTGACTCTATAGACCAGTGGTTTTCCAACTTTAGTGTGCATCAGAATCCCCTGGTGAACTTGTTAAAACAGATTGCTGGGCCCTACCCCCAAGTTCTGAATCAGTAGGTGGGGTCCAAAATTTGCATTTTGGAGTTCCCATGACATGCCTATGCAGACTGCTGGTCTGAAGACAGCAATTTTAAGACACTGAAAACTGAAAAACAAAGACTTATTTAAACATTGGTGTGGTTTGTACTCACAGAAAAACACTAACACTGTATGTACTAGTGCTTTTCTCATAAACTGATTTCACTTAGAAATGATTATGTAATAGAATAAGTCAGTTCATGAAACACACAAATCTATTCATATTTAATTTGACTATGCTTTGGGCTAAGAAAGCATTTTAGTGTTTGAATTTTTGACTCCCCTTCCACAACAGTGAATTCTGAGAATGCAAAGACCTTCAATTGGCTCCCAATTACCACCCCAGCCTCATCCTTCCTTAGTCACTTAAAAGCACTAAAAAGGATTCCCTGTCCCACACACTTCTCAGGCTCCGTACATATTCTTCCTTCTCTCTGGATGCTTCCATATGACAACATTCCAATGGCCAGACTCAAAACACAACTCAATTGTCCTATTACTTATATGAGCTGTTCTCCGAAATAAACAGTAAATCATTCCTTTGTGCTATTAAGTTTATCCATCATTGTGTGTGTGTGTGTGTATAAATTATCTGTTCATATCAAATAAAAAGAAATTCTAAAGTAAAGGTAGTGTATATATATTCTCTGGCCATTGAGAAGCTTACAGTTTGGTGATAAAGATAATTGAAATATAAAACATAATGCCTAAATCATAATAGGCATTCAATATTTGTTGAAAAGACGAATGCTAAGTTTTACCAAAAAAAAAAAAAAAAAAAAAAAAGTACAACATGTCAAAGAACTTCTCTAAATAGTCCAGAAATATTTGTATTCCTATAGTGGTAAGTTCCAGGATTCCCATGGGTTCCAAAATCTTTAGATGCTCAAGTTCCTCATATAAAATGGCATAGTATTTGAACCTAATCTTCCCACGTTGGTCGGCATACTGTAAATCATCTGTAAATTACTAATAGTACCTAAGACAATGTAAGTACTATGTAAATACAGTCACAACTCACATTTCAGTCAATGACTTCATGTATGGCGAATGCATAACAATGCATATCCCATAGTTATACTATATTGTTTAGGCAATAATGACAAAGAAAAGTTCTGTATCTATTCAGTACAGATGAAATTTTTTTAAAAAAAGATTTTCAAACTGGTTGGTTAATCTGTGGATGCAGGTATCAAAGACCAACTATAGTTGTACTGAACAACAGTATAGGTTGAAGCTAGACAAATAGAGTCTTGGCTCTGCTACTAGAAGGGTAATGTGAGCAAATGATTAAAGTCATATGCCTTAGCTATTACACTTATAAAACATGAGTAATAGAGATGCCTTCAACAGAGGGCTGTTGTAAGGTATAAATGAGTTAATATTTACAGAGTTAAATGCTTAGAGTATTCACTATCACAGTAAACACTAAACAAATATTAGCTAGTGTTTTACAATGTAAAAGGTGCAAGGCTGGTGGTTCTGCCCTCAAGAAAGTGAGGACCAGGTTAAGAACCTGTGTGGAAAAAAAGCAGATTAGGCATTAAAAGTCAAACAATTAATTACTGATAAAAGAAATATACAATCTTCTTACATGACTATTTTTAAATAAAACTACACTAAACTATGTTTCCATTCAGAAATGTTAAAAGTTATTAAAAAAAAAAAAAAGAAGGCTATAATACTAGGTTGGGTCATATGAAATTACCCTCACAGGTCAAAGACATATTACCATTTTTATATGGTTCAACCTAGCACTTTTCTAGTTTCATGTTGCTCTACAAATTTTTGCAAGAGAAAATGAGAATTAGATTTCCCACTCAACAACAGAAAATAAAGTCCTCCAAAGCATCTTTGGAAGACATCTAATTCAACTTCATGGAGCTTTAACATGAAAAAATTTAGTATTTTGAAGAGAATAAAGAGGAATAATTATATAGATTAATGAATTTGAAAAAAAATTAAATAACTCTCTTCCCTTTGTATAAAATTACAAGTCTTAGAGATAGTCTATGATCACTAGCTAAACACATAACAATTATAGCCTTATTCCTCTGAGTTATGGCCCACAATGAAGACATTAAACTCACACCACTTTCAGTTTTTCTAAGTAAATGCTTTTAGTCATCAACTTGCAAAAGAGCACATCAAACTTAATGTTACTCAAGTTTTTCTTTAATTAAAAAAAAAAATCAAAGGAATTATTTGACAATTTTGCACAATGGTACTCAATTGACAAAAAGATGATTTGTTTAGGAATCTTAGGGGTAGCAGAGATGCTAAGACAAATTCATTCTATCACTGGAAAATTGCTTCAAAACAAAAATATTAATTAAAAACTATTTCATATATCTTCTATCACATGATGTTAATTTAAACTCATTTATGGATCAAATTTCACAGCATGTGTTCCTTTCTCTTGCAAAGAGAAAGTTTTCCTCAAAGCAGAGCAAATTCATGAGAATGGTTTCAAGTCATGGTTGGGAGTCAGCCTACAAGCGCATGCTTAGAAGGCCAATGTACATTCAGCTGTACCTCAGCCTGATATACTCTCCCTTCTCACCCCCAAAAGGTTCAATCTGTATCACTAATGAGTAATTCCTTATATGGAGTCAGATAAATTACTAATGTACCCAAACTAACAGGATATCATTCAATATGAAAGAAAGTAGCTGGAGTCTAATGACACCCTGGTGGTCTCCTGGTTCTATTTTTAGAAAAACAACCTCATTCTAGCTAATACACAAAAATAATACTTTAACAAAAAAGCATTCACTTGGCATATATTATTTCCCTAAAATACTGTGTGAGCAACTCAGACTTAAATAATATTGGGATGTAAGAATTAATAAGGACACCTAAAGAAGACAAGGGGCGTAAGAACTGCTTCCTGTAATCTTAACCACATTATCTCATATAATTTTCAGAACATAAAAATACAATAAAAACTATAATGGAAATAGAGGGATTCATTTATTACTTTTTGGTTTACAAACAAAGGCACCCAATAATGCTTCTATTTACTGCTTATAAAAGATTATCTGTTCACAATTAAAACAAAAATACAAACCAAAAAATCCTGAATCAGTTCCTGCAGACAAAGAAAGGGGAGAAGTGAGGTTTTCCCCCCGCTTCCAAGCTTTATTATACAAATACAAAGAATCTTCATTCTATGCCATCCTTAGGTCAAAGAACAACATATTGCCATGTTTCTCTGCACTGAGCTGTAGGACATATATTGTTGCCAGATCAAATTTAAATAAACTCTTAATGATATCACAATTTAACACACATGTCCCAATTAAGAGTGAAAAATGGGAAATATCTAAAATGTTTTAGAATACAGTTTTATCAAATGAACTAAATGAAATGAATCTATTTTATAAACTGTCTTGTTAAATGAGTTTGTGAGAAACATACACACAGAACTAAAAACGTTGTCTATGAAACTATACAGAGAACAGTCTTCCAAAATCTTTGAATCTGACTTAAATCCAAAATCTAGTTGGTGAGGATTAACAATCTACACTCTTTATACTAACTTTAGAATTTTAAGTCCTAGGATGATATACTTAATTTACCCATTACCCTTCTTTTGACACAATTCTAAACACAAAATTAATACAGTGGCCTCAGCACCCTCCCAATTCRTATTTAACTTAAATTATAAGAACAGTAAAACAGGTCAGAAGACAAAATACTCCCAAAGCACTTCACAGGCCTGCCCAAGTTGCACCTGATCCTCTTGTTAGACATAAAGAAAATTCATCTGATTCTAGGTATCTCTGGCAGAATTACAAAACTCATACAAATGTTAGCATGTTTTCAACATGTTATGGAAATATATTTGGAGAGATGAAGTACTTAATGTAAATATATGGGCCACCTTAAACCCAAGGCATCATTATTTATTCCATTTTCACACTGTCATGGTCTCTCACACCTTATACAAGGTATGGTCCTTGACCAAAGACTTTAGTATCATTCCAAAGAATATATAGCTATTTACATACATATTTCTTTTAAAATAATGTTTAAAAGTTTTACTACAGAAAATCTGGCTTCAACATGGAAGCATTTTTCTTTTTCAAGATTATACACCTGCATGGAAGAAGGTGATTTCTTTTACATTTAGTTTTTCCACAATATCAAAATAAACTTTTTATACATTGCATTTAAATTGACAAAGGAAATTGAGAAGTTACATGTAACTTTGTACTGTGAACTGAACCCTTTAAACATATTCACGATACATTGCTGATGATTTAAATATAATACAACTTGATCAGCTTAATTAGAACAGTGTAATGCTGAACAATCTGTTAAACCAAATATATGTTAAAATAGTAAACTACTATTGCAATTTAAAGGGAATTATAATGTATCATTAAAATATACATCAATTTTCTTGCTATTACTTGTTTCTATAATGCATTTCTTTCTAAAGCTAAAACCACATGCAGAAAAAATAAATGATATCTTCAAACTCATTCAACAGTTTGCTACTTTATATGGTATGTAAATAAAGTCCTTTATTTAATTTTATACACATTTTGTATTATTTTCTTTAAGGAATTCAGCTTTCAAGGTCAAAATTAATATGTGTTTACTTACACACAAGGACATTTTCTTGATGTTATTACTAGCTGCAAATACATTCTTCCATAATAATGCACTTTCAGATCTCATTTGAAAAGCAGTACAAGCCTTTTAAAAGTCCTATGATATAATGTATAAAGGAAGGAGAGCCCAAGTATGGTGAATCCTTCCCTACACCCACCTCCAATAAAGTCCTAAAAAATCCTCTTGCTTCAATATATAAACACAATCTCACAAGATTGATTTTTATTTGAYTGAAATGTGGACAAGAAAAAAGTACTCCTATTCTTTTTGATACAGTTTCAATGAATTTGTTTTTGTTGTCCTTTAAAAACACACAGCATATATTGATATGGATTTTCAAACCCATTTAGATCCAGTGGGTTTTTAGAATAATATATAGCCTTCTCATTATAAAGCAACTGATTACTTATAGAAAAATGATATGCACTAGACATTTAATCAGAAAAAGAAAAATGGAACACGTTTTCATGTTTGATATCACTCAATAACTTATAGGATGAAGTGAAAATAGTTTGGTTATAGACTTAACAAAACTCAAACCCACTTCAATTGATGAAAAAAAAAATTGAACATTAAAGAATCAGACATCTACCAACTTAGCTAGTATTCCTATCCAAATAAATGCTACCCATTGCACTAAATAGTAGAAATTATGTTAAGGCATATTTTAATTAATATGTCCCAAAAATTGCACAGTTATACTGGTCAGGGTTCCTATTTCCTACTCTTGCCCTCACCCTATCCCTTTCTTTCCAGGGATCAAAACGTTTAGTCATGGTTTTGGTGGCTATTATAGATTTGAGCTGGCATACCACAGTGTGTTCACTAGGTTTTATGACCATAAACATTAAATGTTACATAAAATGTACCATATTTTACTCCACACTCCAATCTAAGATGGTTTAATGTTTGACAAAAAGTGAGATGACTTTAAGTACATTTTACATTTTGTGCATTTTTAGACCACCATATGCATAGATGTTCTAAAGCTAAATTCTTGGTCTTCAGTATCTCATAGTGCTGGATGCTCGAAAGTATGACAGAAACTTGTAACACAGGCTAACTACAAAGTACCAGATGTTTCTTGCCATTTGTGATCTTGCAATAAAAATGCGCCAGATCAGGATCACAAGGATAGTATTGAAACCATAACGTATGTTCCGTAACCTGAAAAGCAAAAGCAAATGGAGAGATATGCTAGACAATATTTTCTACAATAAAACAGAGTACCCCTGGGCTCAATCTGCAGTACCCATCCCATTACACACACACACACACACACACACACACACACACACACAGTAGACATCTTCAAGTTAGAAAGTGGAATTCAAACTAATCTGACTATTAATAACCTGCACAGTAATACATCAAAGTACTACCTCAATCAAATAGGAATACAGCAAAGAGTTTTCATAATAGTGTATTTAGAATATAAACTTATTCAATGAATATTACCGAGCATCCCTGTGTGCCCAGTATTGTCCTAGGCATGAATAATATATCTGTAGGTAAAACAGATACATGCCTTGAACTTCTGGAGCTTCCTAACTGATCTAAAAAGGTTTGTTCATTATATACATTATAGTACAGACAAAATACAATAAGCATTTTTGACATTTTTAGTTGCTTTCAAGTTTTAAGGCAAGTAAACTTACTCCTTCATTCAAAACTGACAATCACAGTCAATGGTCAACTGACAAGTTCTTATCCAAGAGTAAAATACGGCATTAACTCTAAAAAGGATGATCTTCCTATTCTCAAATACCAGTCATATTACCTTGCTCATGTTTCAAAACATTTCTGATGGTTTCTAATGGTGTTTGAAAGGAATACAAACCTTTAGGTATGTGTTCATGTTACATAAAATTTCATTACTTTCAGCATGTATTACAAGATAGAACTGCAATATGGGAACAACAGCGCAGAGAAAAGAGCTTTGAATAAGAAGTTAAAGATCAATATTGCAGTTTGCTTTGCTATAAAAACTTTCCTAAGTCTCAAGTTTTCTCATCCACACAACTAGCTGCACTGCAAAAAGCCGCATAAGAGTTATGAGGCATAAAAATATGTACAGTAATGTCAAAGTCTTGAAAATGTTACCAAGATAACAAAAAAGACACTACAAACAAAAGAAATGATCATTAAAATTATCTGCATCTCTGAATGGTGAATTACCAGTGATTTTGATTCTTCTGTTTTTTGAGTTTATTTTTAATCAGCATGTATACTTTTATAAAGAGACTAAGAAAATTATAACTATTTTACAAAGATAAAATTCTGTGCTGAATGATGTATTGCTATATCTCTTATAGAGATTATTTGAGTAGGGTTAAAAAAATCTTTAAATATTTAATTTCCAAATATTAATCTTTAAATATTTAATAAAAATATATTTTTATTTTCTGCTAATATCTTTACTTCTTCAATAGCAACATAAGAGAAGACACCCCAACTTCATACTAAGGAATATATACATTGAGGAAGACAATAGTTTTCAATGGTTTTATGCCAAATCAACTACCATTAGTTCCAACCCAAAGGTAAGTACTTTTCCTAAATATAATAGATTTGTAATGTATTTTAGATATACCAATTTACCAAAACAGTTGTGTAATAATATTTCATAAGGAAGACAAGATGCAATCAAACCAATGTAAAACTTACTTGTTCAAATGTTTTCTAGCTGCAGGAAGACCAGACATTTCTTCATTCAATACATATTTCTTAGTTCCCATGCAATAGTTTTCTATATATTCTGCCCAATGTAATTGCCGTACATCAATATTGAAGGTCTACATTAACAACAACAAAAAGTTAAATATTTTCCTGAGGAATTTTTCTACAACTTGTCAAATTCACTTTTTCTAAAAGGCAATCCCGAATAACAAGGTAACAAAATATTATAACATAGAATTAATTTTTTCTATTGTCTAAGTATATTTCTTTATATTCCTATTTTATTTCTAGTTCTTTTATATCTGCATCCTCTCTTTTCTTCCTATAGTTCCTTGTGTACCACACAGATTAATTTTCCTAGAGAATACTTTTGACTTTAGGAGGGAAAAAAACAAAACATGTTACAAAAGCTGGCTTAGAACTATAGATACCAATTACTAGACCATTTGATGAAAAGGATAGATAAATCCAGAAAAATAATCTTTACAGAAATACTATTTCTTAGCAAAATAAGAGAGTTGTCTATTGCTTAGTTCTCCTAGCATTCAGTGGAATAATTTCTTTGGAGTGACAAGGAGATTATTTACTTTACACCATCACTTACCTAAAAATGGGTAAGTTGAGGAGGGGCATTTGAAATGCTACTATAAATTAATTAGTAAAATATGAAAATACAGAAACACTGCACTAAGATGGGAGACTTAACAAAGGAGATGGGTATAAAGATGGTTATGGGCGTGGGTGTGAGATTGTCCCACAGGAAGAAAGAAAAAAAAATGGAACAGAAGTAAGACAAATGATGAAACATTTAAAACACATCTACCATATATATCTATATATCTAGGCACCAGAACATAAATCAAAAAAGGCCAGATAGATGACTACTGGATAACTTCTCACCAAAACCAATGGAAGTCAAAGACTGTGAGATGTTTTCCAAGTATAAAAGAAAGGTATTGCTAACATAAAATCCTACACCCGTGGAAATATCCTTGAAAAAACAAAGGTGAAATAAAGATGTTTCCTGAAGAATAAAAACTGTAACAATATGACATGAGTAGAATACCCACAGTGAAGTAACTACACTAAAGAGGATTATTCAGGGCAGAAGAATTCCAGATTGAGTCTACAAAGTCTGGAGATGGAAGAAATGAAGATCAATAAAAGGATCTTCATTTCAATTAATTTCATTTAATTAATTTCAATTATGCTGGTAAATCATATAAATAGTTACTGCATAGACTGTGCTACAGTTTGAATATGTCCCTCTAAAAGCACATGAAAGAAATTTAATCCCCAATGCAATAGTGTTGGCAGGTAGGGCTTAGTACAAGGTGATTAAATTATGAAGGTCCTACCCTCACAAACAGATTAATACTGATGATAAAAGGACTTGAGGCAGAAAATTTGAATGATTACCCTCTCTCCTTCATCATTGGTGAAGTAGGTCTTCACCAGATACTAAGCCCCTTGATCTCAAGAATTCCCAGCCTTTAGAACTATAAACAAACTTCTGTTTATGATAAATTACCCTCTGGTATTCTTCTAGAGCAGCACAGACAGACTGTAACAAAAATAACCTGTGAGGCTTAACATAAAATTAAGTTATGTAATAACAATAGCAGAAAGGCATTGGTTATTATCAGAGAAAATGTAAATTTTATACTAGCTCTTGCTAAACTAAGAAAAGATATTATAATCTCTAGAGTAACCTACTAAAACAATTGAAAAAGAATGTATTCTATGAAACTTAGATGGGAAAACAAGAAATAGTGGAAAAAAATATCACCTAAAAAAAGCAAAAAGGAAAAAAAGAACTTAGAATGAGTAGGACACATAAAATGCACTGAAATATTTAAATAGAAAATTATCAGGAATTATGTTTTGGACTAAGTTCTCCAAAAAAGTGTCAAAAATTGAGACTGGAGGGCTGGGGTTGTGGCTCAGTGGTAGAATGCTTGTCCAGCATGTGAGAGGCCCTGGGTTCAATGCTTAGCATAAATAAATAAATAAAAAAAGGTCCACTGATAACTAAAAAATATAGATATATAAAAATATGAGGCTGGGAAAAAAAACTCTAACTATAAGCTACTTATTAAAAAAAAAACTTTTAAAAGAGAAGGATAAAAACTGGTTAAACATGAAAGAATAAAGAAAGACATGCCATACATTTCTACCAGTAATGTATGAGGATGTCCATTTGCCTAGAGCCTCTTCAGACTATGCTGTCAAAGTCTGTATTTTTTGTAAATCTGCTAATAAATAAAAACTTAGTTTAGTTTTAATTTAATTTCCTCTATTGAGTGTAACACTATCTTTTCAAATGGTTAACACTCATCTTCTGTAATTGTTTTTCTCTAGCCCATTTTCAACATGATTATTGGCTCCCCCCGCCCACTATTTCTACATATGCATTTTTTATGTAGTAGAAAATGCATACTAAAATCATAGAGATACCACTATACACTAAAGTAGTATGGGATTGACAGGAGTTATATACATTAGCACTTAAAATGGCTTTATCTACTAAATTGAATATACAAATGCCTTATGACCCACCACATATGACCCAGCGTATACACACACTTTAAACAAATGTGTGCTTATGTTTATAACCCAAACTGAAAATAAATGTCTATCAAAAGAAGCATGAAAAAAATACTGGATGACAGATACCATTTGTGTAAAGTCAAAAAATGGGTAAAACTAACATTTAGTATTAGGATTCAAGACAATTATTACCTTTTAGAAAAGAGAGGAGGTAATAATTGAGTTCGCTAGAACCTAATCAGGTACTTCTCAGTGGCCCTGGCTTGTTAATGCTGCCAAGCTAGTTAGTGCCGACAGATACTAGGCTAGTATTTGCAAAGGCAAATAATTCTTATTAGACACTGCAGGTGCAATCTATACCTCAAAAAAATTCCAAAATAAATTCAAGAAATATGAATTTATAGGAAAACATATAACAATAAAAAACAAAGAAACATGGTGCCATGAGTGAGACTCAGCTCAAACAACAGTAGCAGAATAGACACTATCCATCCTTTAGGTTTGAATTATCAGGTAGAAATTTTAAAAAAAATTATTTTTAACATGTTCCAAGAAAAAAAATACTATAAGCTATTTAAGAAATATCTGTGAGATTAAAAAGTACGACGAACTTGTTAAAAATGGAAATATAAGAACTGAAACCCAAAATTCAAGTAGATGGTTTAAACTCAGCTGTGACTGCCATAGAATTTAAATAAATAATTTAGATTTCAGCCCAGAAAAAAATGTGAAATACACTTAAAGATCTGAAGGCAGAATGACCTAACATATAATAGGAACTATGGAAAAAGATAAGAGAATGGTGGTATTTGAATTCATATTTCAAGAAATTGCTGCTATGTGTTTTACCAACATTGCTAAAAGATACCATCTTCAGATTCAGGAAGCCCAACCAAAGTAACCAGACACATTCATAGAGAAACTGCAGAACATCAAATATAAAAGGAAAAGCTGAACATGAGCCAGAAATGAYAGCTCTCTTATAAAGGAAGAGCAAATTCCTGACTTTTCAATAGCAACAATATATTTTTTTAATATTTATTTATTTTTTTAGTTTTTCGGCGGAAACAACATCTTTGGTTGTATGTGGTGCTGAGGATCGAACCCAGGCCGCACGCATTCCAGGTGAGCGCGCTACCACTTGAGCCACATCCCCAGCCCAATAGCAACAATATTGACAGAATATAAAGAGTAAGTYACCTTTAATGTGCACCAAGGTCATGTTATAAAACCTAATAGTGAGCTAAGAGTTCAATACTAACAATCCCCTAACTAAACTATATTCTGGTATTCTAGATATATTTCAGGCAGAAAGAAAATATTTGAGAAAAAACATTGATAAACATAGTTAAAGCTAAAACTAAATGAACTAAACATTTTCTAATTGTGGAGCTTACCTAGAGAACTAAAGTAATGTATAAACGTATACATGGTTTGCAGGTGCTAACCACAATAAAAGCATTTTAAGTTTGTATAATGTTGTGGAAAATATCTATTTCTCAGGTTGCTTAATAGTTTTCTGTTATGCTACATACTTATAAAACAGAAAACACTTGCCTTTTTATCTTCTGGGTTTAGTTGATTCATTAACATATTGACATTGTCAGTATTCCACACCCAAGAATTACTTGTGAAATATTCGAGGAACACCATAGCTTTGTGAAGACGAGTTATTGTTTTCATCATCCTGTATTACAAGAAAAATTGACAGATTCATATACTGCCTAGATTAGGAAAAATCCCATTACCACCCAGGGTACCAGTTTCCCCAATATATTAACATTAAAGTATAATTTTAATATGTAATTCAACAAGTGTATCAAACCAGCAGGGAATAAGAACATTTCTGCATCTTGGGAATATATTTTGCAAATCCAAAATGAAAAAAATTTTCTTTGGAAGTAGCAACAAATAAATTTAGCATTGCTTAAATAGAATTCTGCTGATATACATAATTATTTCTTAATGGCTATGCAGTACACCTTTAAGGTCAAATTTTCTATATAAAATATTAAAGCAAATAAATGGATCCAATCAATTTCCTCTTGCTTTTTTTTCTTAAACTACACTTTTCAGATGCATTTCCTAAGATTCCCTATGAATTTATAATATACTGTTATGATTCCAACTCTTTAGCATCACTGAGGCAAAGTATGCAGAAATATTCACACAAAAACTTCCGTTTTAATACTGACTGGGCTCCAATCTTGATCAGCTGAATGTGCTGTGAAATCAATGACTCATGCTGAAACTTTCTGAAATAGATGAATATATCATCTCCCCATGACCCCAACAACGTTCCTTTGCATAAAAATAAGGGAGTATAAACCTTTTTGTTTCTTTAAAAAGGACAAAGGTCTTAAATCATTGTATCTGTTATTTATTATTGCTTACTGTTAGTCATTGATATCATAACACTAATCTGAGCAGTAACAACTATATAACAATAATTACCCATGTTAAGTAACAAAAAGGAAGAAAGAACTTTTTGAAATAAAATAACACCAAAAAATCCCAACTTCTGAAGACAGAAAATAAATTTATTGAGAAATAATTTATTGAAAAATACTTTGAAAGAAGTCCATTTATGTTCCCAGAATAAGGATTAGCATTATATGTAGTTTAGAAAGTCCCCAAATTAGAGCTTTAGAAACTAGGGATATGGAAGAAAACTGGAATATCAGAAATGGGGAAGAAAATCAAAACAGTATCACTATCTAAGTAATTTTGGTAACATATTCAATACATTTAGAAAGAAACCTTGAATCCAGAATACTGGAAAATGAGGCAATATGGACCATGTAAAGAAAAACTATTTCATCCAATAACGTAATTATAAAATAACACATCTGTTAAAAACCAAAAAAATAAAACATCAAAAGCTGTATTTGGACAGAAATAGTTCACATAGATAGAAAGTATTTGGGGTGGAGACAAAAGACATATTGCTTTTAGAAGAGGTTAGGCAATTAAAAAAAAAAATATATATATATATATATATATAAAACTAAATCAATACTATCACAGCCAGTATAGTAAACTTGAATCTATACACATACACACACACACACACACAGAGTTAACATATTTTTCCAACATATATTTTATTAAAGTTTTTCTTCCTTACTTCTTTTTCAGTGATAATTCTCACCTATTCTTATCTTCAAATGAATGAAGTGCCCTAAAAAAATCAATCCAGGATTCAACTACTCCAACAATAATTGCAGGGAAAAAAAGGTGGGGGAGATATATAAGTGAAAATTTATAAAATATTTATCAGGCAATAAAATTGGATTGAATACTGGATTGAATACTATGGGGGATTAAAGAAAAATAAACCCCTTAAAACTACACTATTACTCTTTGATTAAACAAATAACAGAGCAAATAAAATGTTTGTGGTGAGAGTGATGAACATTCTGAATATTTATTCTTTATTATAGCAATCTTCAAAATATAGTCAATCACAGTCCTGTAAAGTAGTGTAAAATCTTAATGATATCTAATCTAGCACTTGTCAACCTTGGCTATAATAATGAGTCAGATAATTCTCTGCTTGTGGYAGGTCACTGTTCTGTGTTCTGTAAAATGCTTGGCAGCATCCATGGCTCTACCACTAGACGCCAGCAGCACCCCCCAACCCTCATTGTGATAACTAAAAATAGCTCTAAATATTGTCAAATGTCCCCAGTTGAGAATCACACAGATGAAAAAAATCAAATTCAGAGAAGTTATGCTACATAGAGTTAAGCTAAATAACCAAAAGCCATGAAGCCATTTGTTCTAGATGCTGTTTTTAACACTAAGGAAATGTTAAAATTTCAAGAGTTAAAATAAATAATTTATACTGCTTCTATATACAATAATGTCATGCATCTTGGTCCCCACATTATAAGACTCCATGATGCATATCTGAGTTAGACTATAATTACATCAAGATAAATAGCAAGTCAGATTTTCATCTGGCTGACACTTAAGTTAACAAGCAAATGAGTAAAATGGATACCGTGAGTTTAATGTAGAATCAGGCAAGGTGTAAAGCTCAGTACCTTGGCTAAGTAAATATATGAAGAAATTAAATAATATAAATTTTAAGACTTTAGAACTTAACTTTTATAAAACTGCCTACATAAAAAAACTTTTATGTCCTTTGTTACTTTTAGACTACACATTCCCAGAAGTCAATGATCATTCCTGCTTTGATACTTAGCCTCACATTATTATCTCCCATCCTACCTGCACGTCTATAATATCACCCAGACTATATTCCCCTCAAGAGGGAAGGTAATTTATAACCAACAGAATGAAGTAGAAGTGACACTGTGTGACTCTGGGGCTAGGTCAGAAAAGGTGGTAAGTTTTCTGCCTTGCTCACTGGAATACTCACCCTTGAAGCCTTCAGTCACCATGTATGCTGTCCAACTCCCCCCGAGGCTGCCATGCTGCGAGGAAGCTCAAACTAGTCCATGTGTAGAAACCACATGGAAAGACTCTCAAACTACATGAAGAGAGAAAGATGCCTGGCCACCCCAGGTGCCCTGCACCCTTCCTCCCCTTTACCACTTTCTCCACAGTATTCCTGTGTTAGTCCTTATCTGAATGCAATCATTTGAAAGATCCTGAGCTAGAACCTGGCCAAGTCTTTAATTCCTGATCCACAAAAATTATGACAAATAACTTGTTTTAAGACACTAAGTTTGCTGTAATGCATAATACAGCACAGAAGACAGTAACTTAGTACTATTGGGAGTGTGGGGGAAGGGTGCTATTCTAAAAATCTAAATTATGCAATATTGGCTTTATAATCAGGTAGTAGACAAAACTGGTAAGGCCCTTGAGAAGAGTTACTGAAATCTGAAAGGATCAGGAAAGAATATTAGCAGAAGATTTTAAAGAGCTCTGGGGAGACTCTTAGTAAGGGCGTAAAATGAGGAAAATGGGTTCAGGACTGTAGTTTGGTGATAGAGTGCTTGCTTCACATGTACAAGGCCCTGGTTTCAATCCCTAGCACCAAAAACAAACTGAAAGCTAAAAGAACAACAAAAAAAAAAAAAAAAAAAAAAAAAACCCACAAAATTGTCACCTGTAATAATATGGAAGATAACAGAAACTATACCTAATAAAAATCAATCCGGTCAAGACTTCCTGAAAGAGGACAAAGATGATCTTTACAAATGAACTGTCTGAGGGCTGGGGTTGTGGCTTAGTGGTAGAGTGCTCGCCTAGCATGTGCAAGGCACTGGGTTCGATCCTTAGCACCACAAATAAATAAATAAATATATAAAGATAAGAAAATATACTTTAAAAAAAAACAAAACTATGAACTGTTTGAGGACTGAGGATACAGCTCAGTTGATAGAGAGCTTGCCTCGCATCACAAGGCCCTGGGTTCAATCCCCAGCACCACAAACAAACAAACAAACAAAAACTATTTGAATGATATTTGGAGATAATGTAAAATACCAGTCATGAATTCTTTAAGAAATGGTTTTTGAGCATAGATCACATCCAAGCTAAGAATGTAAGATTCTTTAATACTTTCAAACAATCTAAGATAGCTCAAAGAATCTTTCAGACAAAAGAACTCTAGATCTTAAAGACATATAGTACAGAAACTCTGCTGTTTGAAATGTAGGATGTAAGATCTAAAGGTGTTGTCCCATAGCAACTTCCTAAGAGACCCAGATTGAAAAGGGTTTGTCTCAAAGTGATCTCAAAATATAGTTTTGGTCTAATGGAACAAACTGCTTTAAAACAGATACACTGAAAACCCACACAATCTTTAAAACAATCACATCAGTTTATATGTAAAAGGGACAGACAGAATACAAAATGAAGACATCTCTGTATCAAGGATCAGTAAACAAGGGCCTACACACAAAATCCTGACTACTACCTGTGTAAATAACATTCATTTATATAGGTTCATTCATTTATATACTGTCTATAGCTGCTTTTATTCCTTYTATTTATTTATTTTTTATTTTTGGTACCAGGGATTGAATTCAGAGGAACTTAAGCACTTGAGAAACATCCCCAGCCCCCCCCCCTTTTTTTATAGGGTCTCACTAAATTACTTAAAGCCTTGCTTAGTTGCTGAGACTGGCTTTGAATTTGCACTCCTCCTGCCCCAGCTTCCCAAGCCACTGGGATTACAGGCATGTGCCACGGAGCCTGGCTGCTTTCACTCTTTAACAGCAGAGTTGAGTAGTATCAACATAAACCACATGGCCTACAAAGCCTAAAATAATTATTGCGTGGCCGTTTTTAGAAAAGTTTGATCACTTTGAGACAAGGTGTCCCCCAAAAGCTCATGTGAGAGACGATGCAAAAGGTTCAGAGGAGAAATAATTGGGTTGTAAGAGTCTTAACCCCATCAGTGATTTAATACCCTGAGAAGGATTAAGTGAGTGTAACTAAAGTGGTAAGGTGTGCCTGGAGGAAGTGGTTCATTGGGGGTACATATTTGAATCTGGTGATTGGAGTCTCTCTCTGCTTTTTGATCACGATGTGACCTGCTTCCCTCCACCACATTCTCCCGCCATGATGTCCTGCCTCACCTCACCCCTGAGGAATGAAGCTGGCCTTCTATGGACTAAGACCTCTCAAACTGTGAGCCCTTAAATAAACTTTTCCTCCTCTGTAATTGTGCTGGTCAGGTCTTTTAGCCAGAGCAGAGAAAAAAGCTGACGAAAACAGGAAGTTGCTAGGAAGTTGCTATGTGTCTATCTAACACTTTAGATCTTAATTACTTTYCTCCTAAATCCTGCCTTTCAAACAGCAGTTTCTGTGACACACCTGTGTCACCCCTGCCCAGGATGCTTAACTTTTTAATAGGCAAGAAGAAGGGTAAGTAGACTATTCATTTTCACACATAGATCATTTTTGTAGCAAAAGGATGACTCAAGAGGGCAGAGTCAAGAGCCTCCAGGAAGTCCCAGAGTAGAAGTGAACCCTAATTAAGAAACTATCAACAAATTCCTGACTGGAATTCAGAACTGGCTGTGTACTTCTTATTTTCTCTTTGTGAAGAATACTGTCTGAAATCACTATCCAATGCTGCTTCTTCATATGTTGGATGTGGGTATATGAGTAGCTAGTAACTTACTTGAGTACACAGGTTTTCAGATTAACATTTGAAATACACTTGAGGAGCTATATTTACAATATCACTCCTGAAGAGCCTGATCTGCAACTGTATCAGATTTAAATGACAAAATCTTGGCTTCAAGCTGATGCCACAGGGATCCTGGGGGAAAGTAGCAACTTCATTTTCCATGTGGAAGGAATAAAAATTGTTTTGGCCAAAAGGCTGACTATAGCAACCTGCCCTTTCCAAAAATGACTTCAATTTTTATCTCATTTGTTCATTTACAGCATGATCTTAACCATTCTCTATATCCCTTTACCTTAAATCTAGGAAGATCTAACTCTCTTGTGTCCTGAAAGAATGAGGCAAAAGTGATAATGCATGACTTCCTTAGGTAGAACAGAAAAGGCAATGTAGCTTCCACCTTTCTAACTGAAATACCACCTCCTCAAAGCCTTTAGCTGTCATATATGAATTTAATTCCCCAAAGGCTACCATCAGGCCTTGCAAAGAGCCTACGTGGAGAGATTCTGATACCATAGGAAGGGACCCCTGGTCCCTAGGTGCTCCACTGTTCGCCATTACACTTAGCTTTTTCAGCTCCATCTGATCACAACCACATGAAAGTCCCTAAGCCAACACCAACCAGCTCATTTCCTGCCCAAATTCCCAATTCTGAGAGAAATAATAAGTTGAAAAAAAAGTAAATGTCTAAAAAGTCTCTCAATTTCAGATGATTTCTTATATAGCAACATCATTTGGTAAACTTGAGCTATTCATTCTTCAAGTTTACTAAGCCCTATTTCTCTGTGTGAGGCACTGTGAAATTTTAACCTGTTGTACTTTTTTAAAAACTATTTGTGATTTTCCTGCCATAATCTGTAATGACTTAATTAATATAAAGAAAACATGTACTGCCATCTTAATTTTTGCCTGCTTATTTAGCCATGAAAATATGCTGTCAATGGTAAATACTCCACTTTGCAGATCATTGTAGAAAAACTTGAAAATATTTTCTTAAAGTTGTTCAACACTTCTCACATATGTCCATATGTATGAACATCATGGACAAGTGAATCCACAGAAAGTCCCTACAATTAACTCAGATCCTGATACAGTTTATACTATAACTAGCAGATACCTCACTTTTATTTCTTGAGCAGCTGATGGAAGTTCTGGAATCAGCATCTTCTTTATACATAATTATTCTCTAAACAAAGGTTCCACTGTAATGCCAATGTAGTTAAAATAAGTAAATATTTTTGTGGTACATTTCACTGTAATTGTGTGGTAATGACAGCAGAACTGAATGTAGGGTTTCAGTAAAAATTTTAAAAAAGAAACAGGAGAGAAGAAAGAAAGGCTATTACAACTATGAGGAAAAAAAATTTTCCATTTGCTATTAACTTCTAAAAAAACTACATATCATTCCCAACCTAGAAAATTAGTCAAAAACTGTAATTACCATATTATAAGCTGAATGGACAGCTGAGATATTTCAAGTAATTAGATTTTTAGAATCATCTTACATTTTTTTGCATAAAACTGTACCATCCATTTAAAGTAGAACATTTTACCCTTAATCTCCTGTGAAAATTCCACCCCTAGGTTTTTAAGGGGGAGAGGAAAGGGCTCAATTTCAGCTTATAATAACAATGACAACCCTGATGTAGGACATTTCCTATTGTTATGGGATTCTGGAGGATCAATGGCCCAATAAAATGAGATGGATAGTTAGTGTCCCCAAATGTCTCCCATTTCTAAAAAATGTCCTAGCATCYTGATTGTGATTGTGATTAATCAGGTTAGTAATTCGAAAGGTAAAGCTCATGCTAGCGACTTTTTGTCTTTCCAGCAAGCTTCCACCACCTTACCAATACATAGTGTATTTACTGCTATTCTTCTTACCACGGTTTCTGACCTGTCAACCTGAGTGCAAGATCGTGCAATAATGCAGGTACTGTATGTCTGACACCCTTCCAATAATGAAGCAATAGGTTGTTGGAATAGAACTTAACATTGGGGTGCCTGTATACTTGGTTTAAAGGATTCATCTTGAAGAAATGGTTTAGATAATATCCTGTAGGAAAAATAAGCGTCAAAGCATTTTGAATGTTATTTGTTATTCAGAAAAGTACCTAAAGTTAGACCTAGAATTCAACACATAACAATAATTTATCATCCAAATAAGTTAGAGTGACTTACAACACTACCTTTGTTTTTCTGACAAAGCCTTAAATTCAAGAGTCTTCTCATTCACAAAAGGCCATTAAGCCTTATCATAAGCTTAAACAGATACAGAGTTAATATGCATTTTAGTGTAAAGCATGGGTTGTTTAACAGTCAGAGGAACAGATAAGACAGAGCTAGTCACCATTACCTTGGGCTTCTTCCAGTCATCCTGAGGTAGATATCATACAGGAATGCTGGGGCCTTATGGCTTACAGCAATCCAGTAATGATATAAAAGGTGATTGGAGGTTAGATTTACATTGGGCCGTCTGAAGGCCTGTTCGAGAGGATTCCTCTTGAAAGTGGAAATTACATGGTATTCTGAGGAAGAAAAGTTGTGTAACAGCTTTGATAATAACCATGTAATGAAGTTTTGAAAAAAAATGTTTTTACAATGCAATATTTTACCAAAGATGTCAGAGTTCGTTCATTTAAAAAACAAATTTTTCTACTCTCTATAGTAGCTAAGAGAATATGGGTATTAGACTTCCAAACTTGAGCGGTTTAAAAACTGCCACTATTTATAAATTTTAATTAGATGAATGAATTTTTGCTAAAATTCACTCTTAAGATCTTTTTAATGTTTTACCTATGTCAGTTTATAATGTCACTTTCTACAGTTCACCTCTCACGATAGCTTCTTTCTTTCTGTTCCTCTTTCCAGATTCTTATTACTGTACTTACTTAAAAAAAAAAGGAAAATCATCATCCTTTGCTTATGAATAATTAAGTTGTTCAAATTAACATACATCAAACAAGTTTAAAACGACCTAAAAATAATCTTTGCTGCAATTTTTTTAGGTTACTCAATGTCAACATAATCAACTTGGTATCATCTATGTTAAAGACTTTAATGAAAATGTATATTGAGATATTCACTAAAAAAAAAGAAAAAAGCCAATGTGATTTTTCACTAAATTTTATAACACAATGGAAGACTATTAAAAAAATCCTTATGTAAAGTGTTTCAATATTCTCCAAAGAAGAGTACTTAAAAATCATCCTTGATTTTTTTTCTTATATTTCTTTTTTTCTTATATACACTAACAGTCAATGTTTAAACTTAAATAAAAATGGCAGAGAAAAGCCTAGGACGAATGCCATGAAAGATATACTTTAAAAATCAAAATTGCTTTGCAGGGGTAAAAAAAATTAATCAATGGTAAAATAAGACCCATTACTAAATCAATGTTATAAGTATGTTTTACTTTAAATTTGAAACCATCAACCAACAATTTTAAAATGATTCCATTTCAATAGGCTTTATATATCATTCCTATTTTAGAACTAGTAACATATCATACACACTATTTGCTGTGGATCTGGGAATTTAAATACATTAATAAATGTTAGCAGAAAATATTCTGGCAAAATGTATCCTAATTCCTACTACATCTTTCATTTATTACTCTGGGGGCCATTTAATACACTAGCTCTTATAAGCAGGAGTGATACTGCCTATGGATCAGCAACATCAAGACTATGGGTACTCAGGAGAGTGAAAAAAAGCACTATTCCCGTACCACAGGTTATCTATAAAGGTTGCTGCAGATGGCAACAGAAAAACAGCAAGGGTCAGACAAGGGTAGGGTGGATGGGAATATACAGCAGGATATTTTTACATTTTGAAACACTATTGAGGATGGACTACAAGGCAGTACTGGTAGATATTACTTCTAAAATGGCAATTAAAATAAGAACAAATTGGTAACTCAATGTCCTTAATGCCTCATGGGTATTCTAACAATTAAAAACTCAGTGAACATTTTAAGTTAAGATATATTCTAACATTCAAAAACATAGATAAAATCATACCAACTTCACCCCAGTGGAAAGGATTAGTGCTGCCTGTCGTGCAATTATACACCATGATGTTTCTTGGCCTGCAAAGACAAAGATGAAAGTAATGAAACATAAAAAGAAGCTGAACAACCTATTTAAATCTTAYATGATATTAAAATAGAAATCTATAAGGACAATAAATAAAAAATTATTCTTAAGGATTTTCTTAATGTCTGATGACCAACACTACTTTTATCTTTCCTCTCCCCCCAGAATTATCATTTTCTTTTCTTTTTACATTTTTCTTCCTTTTATTAATGGGAGTATGTTTTCAAAAGAAAAAAAAAACACTAACAATCTCAGCTCTTCTATCTCCTAATTTTCAGAGACTCAAGTTAGGGAAAAAAAAGTTAAACTTAAGCGTTTCCTATAAATTTTGTTATCTTTTAAAAGAATGCTCACAGATTGAATAAAGCTGCTCTACTGTACCGTGTTTAAGATATGTAAACCACTCTCAAATTCCAACTCTTTATACGTTGCAAATTTATATCAAGTTTTCATTTGGATTAAAAAAAAAAAAAAATCAACCTTGGGAAGGACTCTTTACTTTTTAAAATCCCTAACAAATTTATATATTCTGTAGGTACACTGAAGTATTAACATTGATTTTTCACTACTACTGATGAGTCCACTTGTTATTGCTAGGGATATATCAACCCTTACAGTTGACTGTAACATTGCCTATATATTGCTATGGCAATATCAGGACTAAGGGATTAATTAACTTTAGTCAGTAGCTCTGTTTTCCCTTTTAAGTTACTATATATTTAATAAGCAACATTGTCACCTCATATACCTATTAACTCCGGAATACCAGGCTGCTGCAAGACTTGTGTTGACAACTACATCTACAGGAACAAGATCCGCAAGGGCATTGTTGGAGGCACGCATTGTTCGGAGAATTCCTTTCCCTGCCTTTGTTGAAATTAAAAACAAAACCTTAAGATATATAAGCTGAAGTGTATATATATTTTAAAAAATACACAGAATATTAAATAAATCAAAAAGTTTACTTACCGCAATAAAAAGTCCACTTGGTCCATTAAAGTTATCAATCCATCCCTATTGCCAAAAATTAAAGGAAAAAAAAGGAAAGGAGTACTTAGAAATATTATGAAACTAGAGATGTGTTATTTGAAATCTACAACTCCAAATGTATACAGGTCATTTTCTTTCAAAAATTAAAAAATCTATATTACAATCCAGAATATTGATCCCAGTCCCAAATAGAAGTAGTCTTCTTCTGGATAGAAAATGATTAAATAATAATATTTTTAAGGGGTCACATACTGTTCCATTAATTCTATGCAAAGGAAATTTTATAAAGTAGAGTGTATATTGTCAATTATTTTTATTAAAGTAAGCCTAGTTAAGCCTGATTATATGCTATTTACTAATGCAGCATCCTGATTGAGGGAAATGGCAAGTACTCCCCAAATTTACTGAACAAAACAGAGAAAGAGATTAACAAAGTAATAAAAGACATGCTATTACTTGCTACCAGCACAAATCTAGGTTCTTCCAAAATCAATTTACCTACTGGTTAATATTTCTGCTTTTTCTTTTTCCAGGGATTTACAAATATCAAAATACCTTGTTTTTTTTAACAGCAAGTTCTCATAGAAATTTCTTGTATCTTTCTTAACTTTGTGATCTATATAGGAAGTGAATTCTACTACATCTTGGAAGGCCTATCTTTTTTTAGTAATAAAAAACAAATGAAATTATGATCTCCTTCAATTAAGATAATACCATAGCTTTTGATTTAATTTTCAACTAGGATTCTTAAAATGTTGATCTACATTTCTATATATATCGATATTCATGTTAGAAATCAAAGTACATCTCTTCCTAGGAAAAGGAAACAGTTTTGCCAAAGTAAGCCATGTTCAATAAATAATACCTATTCTTAAAATCAAACTTCTTTTACACAAATATGACTTAAAATTCTCAATTCTAATTATTTATAAAAGATTTCAAACAACTTACTGGAAAAGGTTCTTTCCAACTGGCACCAACAATTGATGGCCTTACAATCGCCACATTTAGCTTTGCTCCTTCTTGTTGTACAACATACTCCGCCAATGCTTTTGTGTATATGTAAGTATTAGGTCTGTCTCCTATCAGTTTTGGTGTGATATCATTTACTAGTCCATCATCCATCCACCTGGTGAAAAAAAAAAATGCATACAAAAATATTTCCAGGTATTTTAATTTTGAATTAAAAAAAAAAATCACTTAACTTTGTACATTCAAAAGACAAAGGAAAAAGTTTTGGTTTCATTAAAATTCATGTATAGTCCACAATCCTTATATGCAATTTCTATATCCAAAAGGGTCTGAAAACCAAGAGTTCTTTCAAAAATCACATAATAGATATCAAAAGCTAACAAATATTATTTAATTTACATAGCTACATAATTCATATGTATTCAACCAGAGGTGTCTGCTACCTGACACCAAACTGAGGTAATTCCATATCACACAGCACATAAATTATACTTCTTTTCTAAAGTCCAAATAAACTCCAACTTTTCAGATTTTACAAATTTTCAATCTGTATAAGACCACCTAACAGATTTGTGATTCACTTACAATAAAAAGGTCTAGTAATCTAAATATTCAAAGTGAAGCACTGAAAATGTATATCCTCATAAAACTAACACATGCTAGGATAATCAATAAATGAAAATATGTTGAAGTATGTTATAAAAATTCAGTTAGCAACATACTATGAAGTTATAAAATTCACCAATTCTCTCAGTTCTCTTAAAGAAATGGTCTACTCTAATCATCTGTAAAAGAAGAGCGATAGACTAGGTAATGTCTATAATCATTCCTGGTCAAAATTTCTGATTTTTATAAGTTATATACCAATTTTTGGATACCTCTTCCCCATTTGTCTATGCTATCTATATAAGTAGACTCAGTATAATGTCACATTGTAATGACACCAATACAAACTGATGAGGAAGCATAAGATGGAGAAGATAATATTCTTCTATATACAAGTACTTTTATATATGAAAGAAAAATAACAAAACTAAATTCAAGGGAAATTGGTATCCAATGTAAGAAAAATTCCACAATGGAGGTGAGTTTTAAAACTGGAAAGGAGGGATTGAGAATATAGCTCAGTTGGTAAAGTGCTTCTCCTATGCACAAGGTCCTGGATTCAATCCCCAGCACCACCAAAGGTGGTGCATGCCTGTAATCCCAGTGGTTAGGGAGGCTAAGGCAGGAGGATCCCAAGTTCAAAGCCAGCCTCAGCAATTTAATGAGGCCTTATGCAACTAAGTGAGATCCTGTCTCAAAATAAAAAAAATAAAATAAAACTAAAAGGACTGGGGGCTAGGGTTGTGACTCGGTGGTTGAGTGCTTGCCTTACATGTGTGAGGCACTGGGTTCAATCCTCAGCACCTCATAAAAATAAATAAATAAAATAAAGGTATAGTGTCCATCTACAACTAAATATATATATATTAAAAAACTAAACTAAAAGGGCTGGGAATGTGGCTCAGTGAAAAAGTGCTGCTGGGTTTAATTCCTAGTTCTAAAATAAAATAAAAAAAACTGGAAGGGATAGATGACAGATTGCAAAAAATAAAGAATTAAGTTACAAGCTCTTTCTCAGTTTCTTGATGTTTGCTCATGCCAATGCTAATAAGTGAAAAAATAGTATGTTTCATTAACTTCCACATTCAGCTTCTAACTACTGATCTGTGAGGAAAATGAAGTATATATCTGGAATCAACTGAGAAAGTAAGTCATAAAATAGAAGTCAGTAAATTACCTAATGGATATCATAGCATCCTCTCATACTTACTAACTTCTTTTAATAGATTATAATCTATCTGTTCCTTATAATGATTAGCAAAAAAAAAAAAAAAAAAAAACTTTTTAAAAAAATGGACCTGTATGCTTATTTTGGAGAAAGCAGGGCATAGTAATTAATGTGTCAAAAGTCAATAGAATGTTTGGGAAGAAAGGGGACTAAGGTGAGACAGAGAACATAAGAGAAAAAAAGCCCATAGAGACATTAAATGAAGATTGATGTACATGTGAAGATATGATAGATGCTGGAATGTTTCTATTATTGTAGCCTATAAAAGAAAAAGTGACCCACTTTCCGTTTTTTTTTTTTTTTTTTTTTCTCTGAACCTGTTTGTTTCACTTGACAAGAAAGCATGGGCTGAAGGAATGAGAACTGGGCCATGGTAGATGCATACTTTTATCAAATGCTCACAAATATCATTCAAGTCTAAACTGCTGATGGGATCCTAATCCTCAGAAAGATAACCAGTGACACTTGGAATATGAATTAAAGGACTATGACTCCTCTCATTCCCTAATAATTAAAGACCTCTCTATTGATATACTCCATTGTGGTGGGAGTTGATAATCCTTGAATAAACTAGACCCTAGCTACTGAGCAGGCAATCATTAGTCTCCACAAGGACTTTTTGGTTGCCAGAATTGATTAATTGGAAAACTGAACCCCTAGTGTCCTAGTTTGTTCAGGTCTTTCTCTAATCATTTACACTTAGTAAAGAGTGAAATTCATACACTAACTTCACAGCAACACCCAGACATAAATCTATACAATAAAAAGAGCATAGTAGACATGCAATAATTTGTTAAGAAAGAGATCAATGTATGCATGTATGTGGGGTGGGGAAAGGGAAAAATAGACAAACTCAGATATAAAGCTTTGAGATAAAAGCAATGTATACAATTTCAAACAAACATACTCTAAAGAATCAATCAGCTTCTTGGGATCTACAGGAGGTGGATAGACTACTTCATCAATATGCTTTCGATTACAGTAGGCATATGCTGTTGACACATGCATGAACACTTCCAGGTTCTTCATCTGTTGTGCAAGGAGAATAAGCTGTCGTGTAGCAATTACATTTAACTGCACAGCATCTCTGTAAAAGAAATTGACAATGAAAAACTGGAAACCCGTGTTACTTATTTTACCTGTTTAAAAACATCTTTTTCTCATTAGAAAGGCAGAGAGAGACAGAAACAGGTTCCTGATTCTTTTCAATTTACCCTTCTGGTCTGATTTTGTGTTTTACTACAGTATTAAGTACATTCACTGTAGCAGCTATGTTTAAAAAGAAATTTTCTGACTATAAGATAAATAAGTAAATAAAACAAATAGGACTTAATAAATTAAAGTACAAATTTTAAAAACTGTAATTACCTAGAAATAAAATCAGATAATTTCAGTCTTTAGCTTTTATGTATACGTTTTGAAATCATTCTAGACTTCTTTTGAATTCTGATTTCTAAAAGTATAATCGTTCACATTTGGATGTTTCAAAAGGAGAAGAAATTAGGAAGATTAAGTAATTATAAAATGCTACTATAGCATTATCAGTAACTAAAACAGCCAAATAAAACTTAGAAATATTAATTTATATAATCAAATAAGAATACATTTATTTCTCTCTCTGTAGAAATAATATGTTTTTTATTAGGCCACTTACAAAATATAAAGAGTATTAAAATAAAACTGCTAAAACAGGCATACATAAGAACCAAAATGACTTACATTTTACCTTCCTGGAATTTATTTATTTTTTCCTCTCTATATAAAGTATGTTCATGCCAATTTATGTACTTTTTTTTTTGCATTACAATTCTTAATATACATATATACCACAATTTTTTATATCTGTTTATATATAAAGTATGTTGAGGTGAAGCAAATAATTCCACAAAAGCAAAGTACATATGTAGAAAAGCAATAAATGAAGCATCATCTACTAATAACAAAAGCCTAGAGGGTCCAAAATAGTCATAATGAATGGAATGGTTTGACAAAGTAGGTATTTTTATCACAATGAAAGAATAGTCATTAAAATAATTATGTAAAAGCCATAAACATGGAAAACCTGTATGAATAATACAAAAATGCATACATTGAGACATGAAGCAGAATTAAAAACAAAGCTATGAACTTGAGTTCAGTTTCTGACTTGGCCTACCTATCAGCTAAGATACAACTAAAGAAGTCAGGCTCAGTTTCCTCACCTACAAATGACAATAATGAAATCTATCTATTAGACTATATAGAATGAAATCAAACACAGCTTATAAACACTTAGTATTGTTCTTAACACAGTCCCAAAACAGGCAATCAATGGATATTAGCAATGGTGGTTAAGTTTTGTTTTCTATTCAACTTTGTTTAGTTTTTTTATCATTGATGAAGAGATAACATAATGATTATGTTAATAATATAATGTATGTGAAAATCGCTGAGAATAGACTTTTAAGTGTTTTCATTAAAATTAGCTCCAAAAGATATACATATTTCAAAATACGTTGTACACAATAAATATGCACAATTTTGTCAATTAAAATAATAATAATAAAAGGAAGAAAGGTTGAAATATCCAATACCAGTGAACTGGCAGGTTACCACACTGTTGGTAACATTATAAATTGATACAACTGATCTGAAAGAAATTAGGAAGAAGTGCCAGGAACTGTAGAAATGAAATATTTATTAATCTAATTTACCTATTTTTCAGCAGAAAAACATTTTAACCTTAATTTTTCAAACAAAAAGAAATTTAATTTTTGTTTTTATATAAGGTACTACATAAACTGTCACATATCAACACAACAGAATATCATGTCATCAAATCACCATAACCATAAAGAAGATTTTAAAAAATGGAAGATTTTTCTGTATTAAAAAGTAAAATTAGAAAATCTAAATTTATAATTATATGAAATAATATATATTCAGACATAGATCAAAGGAAACTTAAAAAAAGTGAAAATAGCTTTCAGTACTTTCCAAAATGCTTGTACTGTCAGTATTTATAAAGAAAAAAGGTCAGGAGACATCATAGACTCTAATTCCATGTGACTGTAAAGCAGTGATTGCATACCTATCTTGTTTGCAGAACAAGGAAGATGAGGAAGGTACTGTTTGGGGAGAGGAATACAGAACATATTTTATTACAAGTTCCTGAGGACAGGACAAGTTCTGGGTCACCAGGAACAAGGAATAGCTCATGAAGGGAAAGAACAAAAACAAAAATTCTTGTGTGTCTCATTTTCTTTTAACTTACCTGAGATCCTACCAAAAACCCTGTAAGAAAGAATTTTTTAATGAAATTGGAGTGGAGTCTTATATAATCACAGGTATATTTTTTTTTCTTCCTCATTTCAAGTGGGGGGGGGATCTGTTCAAATTGAAACCCAGCAAAAAAGACATTTCACAGAGAGGACACTATTCACAGGACTAATAGAGAATGTGCTATTTTCTTGTGCATTTGCAAAACAATGGGAGTAAGGAAAGTAATGTTTTAGGAAAATACACAAGGGATATTCTATTACAGGTTCCTAAGGACAGTGACAGAGTTTCTGGGTCACTGAAAAAAAGAAACAATTTAAGAGGCACATTACTGGGCCTTGACTCCCCCCACTCCATTTGAAGAACACAAATTTAAAGCCATTCTGGGCCCACATAAGTTAACTCTTGGTATCTCTACCAACCTAGTTAACCTCATTGTATTTTACCTCAATCCAATTTCTATTCCCTTGAACTTCAGGCTAAGACCATGGCATGTTAGACCAGAAAGCATTTGGTACTAAACAAAAATATTTTTCTCATCATATTTTGGTTATACGGAACCATAAATGCATCTTGAGATAGACTTTTGGAAGAGAGGTGGAACACGAGCAGATCTTTTTAACTATAGTCATTAATGTAGACATAAAAAATCACTTAAAAGAAAAAAAGGAAAAGGATAAAGAAAAAGTTTAAGTTGAACTGCCAACAAATTTTCTTATTCATCTGTCTTCTACAGACATCCTGGGTTCTTCAGGCTATTTGAGAATACTTCTAAAGACCAGGGCTCTCGGTCTTGGCAGAACATACACCTGAGAATTTATTAAAAATGACTCCTGTACCTCATACTCACACACTTTTAAGGTCTGAAATGAGGCCTCAGAAACTACATTTTAAATAAGTTGCCTAGCCTATTTTGACACTTTTTTCATCCACTCTTCTCACCTGGAGAAAATAGTGCTTATGTGAGATCTTAAAATGGCTAAAAAAGAGTAGGGAGGATAGGAAGGGCAGCAGAATAGAATAGACAATATGATTGATGTATGTACATTTTCCATATATGTATTATATGTCAAAATACAATCTGCTGTCATGTATGACTAAAAAARTAAAGATAAAAATAAATATATAAAAAATAATAAAATAAAATGGCTTAAAAAAACACTTTGATACAGACACAAAGGTTTAGGAACTGAAGAATCCATCTTAGGGTAGAGGACCTAGGTATCTGTAATTTTAAAGATGTTTCAAAGCAGATTCTGAAAGTAATGATTCTAAAAGTATATAGTACAAGATCTGAAAGATAGTAAATTATGCCTAATGATCTTGCTAAAAATGAGGGTTCTAGGGTGCTATTTCTTAACTAAAGAGTCAGAATTGGATAAGTGCACTCCAGAAATCTGCATTTTGAACATGTTTTCCAGTAATTTTTAAGATTCATAATACATTCTAAAGTTTGAGAATCAATGTCCTTAGATCTAGCAGTTTTCTTGATCTTTTCCATCATCACATTTAGTTCCATTTCTTTCAGAAAATCTATTTCCAGATTCACCTACAATTACTCCAGTTTTGCAATCTTGTATTATGAATTTTCCCCTAACTACATGTTGTGTTCATCCATCTCTCCTGTTAGAAGTATGTTTTGTCCTTATCCTGGTTTTCAGTTTCTTGGCACTTCTCTATTCTCCACTCTATTGGATCTCTCCCACCAAGGAATATCAGACCCTATGACCAACTACTTTAGTAATTCTATTATCCACAATATCATTTCTTCCCTCAACTTTTGTATTTCTTTATAATTCCTAATATTGCTGTCAATTTTTCCCCTTTCAGATATGAATATTTTAGGATCACATCTGAAAAGAAATAAGCTCTACCTCCTTTCAACTTTCATGGCACTTAATGTACGCTCTTTACTATCTCCTTATTTTCCATATTATGTTATGGTTATTTAAGCATATTCTCTCTCTTCTATTAGACTATATGGACTTTGTGAATAGGATCTGTGTGTACCTTTTCCTGCCTTTCTCCCCAAGATACTGATATGTTGTAATAAAACCTGGATTCCCCATCCCCCTTGGCAGTAAAAACGTGTGTTATTTTGAACTGGTTGGTTAACTTAATGAAGTTACAAAAAGTGCTTGTTTTGTAAGTAGCTATTATAGCTCTACCTCCAATACTTTAAAAATGCCTGGCCCATATTTAATATTGTCCTGTCACATTTAGATATTAACATTCACTGAAATTGCTTCAGAGAAACAATGACTTCAATGTAATGACTAGGGCTTGGTCAGTAAACATTCATGCCTTGACAAGAAACAGAAAAACAATGCATTTAACTTTATGAAGAATAGAACAAAATCTTCTCAGAAATACTTTCTCAGTTGTATTGGTAAAGAAATAGAGGCTCAAGGAAGTTAATAACTTGCCCAAATTTATCAGTTAATAAACAACAAAGTCAAGATTAGAACTAAGGTATGTAATTCTAAAGCTCTTGCTCTCTTCATATAATATAATACTTCCCCAAGTGCAAAATAGACTTGTGTCTGACATTACAAATATAAAAATTAGATGGAATAAAATAATGAATTTGAAAACTATGAAGCACTACAGCAAAAGTGTAAGTAACTATTACAGTGCCCGCAAATGGAATATAGATAAAACATGCCATAAACTTTTAGCAGTGAATGCTCATATTATGTAATGCTTATAAGGTTTATACTTCTATATTCCAAAGATAATATGGGATGTAATGTCAAAATCCTTTGTAATTAAAAACTTAATTTAAAAACATTTTAAAGAGAAAGACTTCAAATAGTTTTGAAACCTAAAAAGAAAGCCACACAAGTTTAACTCTATACAATTAGATTAGATTATAAAAACTGTATTTTGTTATATATCATCAAAAAAATGCTCTGAATTAAGAACCATTATTTGAAATGAATAGTCTTTTCAGATATTCTGAAGTAATGAACACTTAGAATGTTTTTCTTTTCTTGAAACAGGCATCTTAAAGTCCAATGTATCTTGCCCTTAACAATGTTATCAAAGCATTGTTTTTAAAATGATAATAAGGTGTGACAAATTTGAGCATCCTATCTTATTCTGCAAAACTCAAGTGCAATTTAATTTTCAGAAATAAGCTAATGAAGGAATTACAGGAAGCAGAGAGCTAATACTCTTACTCAAGGTAAACTTTTTTCTTTCTCCTACTCTATTTCTTGACTTCCCCAACTCTTATTTAAATTCATGGCAACTTCTTCTAATAAAATACAGCAGTTAGCCTATGTTTTGAAACTGATAACAAGGAGGGTGTTCTTTTGACATTCTGTAAGACACTGAAAGCCACATTTGACATATGGCAAACAGTTTCAAATGACTTTTGAAAACAACTTGGCAAAGTAGAATTAAAATTAAATCTTTTAAATATACTTAAATCAAATATTACACAAATACCTGTACTTACCTTAAATTTTCATTAAACCTTACTGTAGCTGCACAGTGGAATATAATATTGGTAGAATCTATGATGACCTCTTTATCTTCTTCACTAAGAGCCAGTTTAGGTTGGGTGAGTTCGCTGTTGATTGCTATAATTTTCTCTCTAAAATCTGGATTTTCATCTCTCAATCTGTCAAAGAGCTATCAAAGGGGAAAAGTATTTATTTTGGGGTAGTATTTTTCCACTTTCTAAAACACATTATAAACCCTTTTCCCCACAAAGGGAACTATTTTAAACAAAATTTAACTATTTTAAAAATAAATTGTGCAATTCCTAAATTTGCTATTTCTACAGAAAACACCTTATGAGCCCACACTATTATCTCCATTTTAAAGATATGAAACAAGCAGTTTGCCAAGGACACAGAGCTGATAGTTTGCAGAGTTGAATATGAACTGTTTGTGCTTTGGCTAATTATGTTATACCTATATTACTCCTCAGAACAGACTTAAGCAAAATAGATAAAGACAATGTTTTAAAATGATTAATTTTCTAAAATTCAGGCCTTAATTTATCACTTTATTTTATTTTCTTTCAGTAGAGTAAAACAATATGATTCACATTCTACCTTAAAAATCTGAGAACAAATTGTTTAATAGGAAAAAGAAGTAAACATGTTAAAGGGGAAAACATTTTGGGAAGCAAATGTGTACTAGAAACTGGACAAATTTGGGAAGTTTTATACACACACACACACACACACATTACATCACACACGCACATATATTTATCATCACGTACATATGTGATTCAAACTGAAAATTCAATTCTTTTAGTATAACCAAAGAAATAAATTTTGCTAGATAAACCTATCAGGCCAAAAGATAATCAATGTAAGTAAGGGCACATTCAATTATGAGTCAAGATTAATTTTTTAATCCTAGGTTTGATAGAGTGACAATGATGCTACCCTGCAGATCACTGCTCTATCATATTCTGACTTGCCATCGCATTTACAGTCAATGCTTTGGGATTAAGCAAGATTCCTAAGCTGGGAAGAAAGTCTATAATGTATGTGTTCACTTTCACCTTCCTAAACAATTTTAGATATAACAGTCTTCCCCTTCACCACTCCCAGTTCCTCAAATATGAACGTATTCTTATAATTTAAAAAAATATATTTATTTAGAATTTCATATAGGCCAGGCACCTTCTGTAAACTGAGAAAACAAGAAAATAAGACGACCCCCTCAAGATTTTTTAGAGTCTAACAGTGAAAACTAGACAAGTAAATGGACAATTAATATATCCTTTTATAAGTAATAAAATCGGAGTAATACATTGTTATGAAACTGAATAGGAGAAATTATTAACCCAGTTTTGAGACCACATACAACTTTCAGGGGACACTTAAGCTAAGACCAGAAGGATAAACGGAATGCCAAAATGTGTGCTGGGGAGGAGAGGGAGGAGTGAAAGAAAGGGAAGGTCCTGAGAGTATAAAGTAGAAGAGCAGTGTTCCAGAACAGGATGAACAAACTGACACGTTTTAGAGATATTTAGGAGATAACACCAACTGAATTTGGCTAATGACTAGATTTGAGGGATAAAGAAGGTAAACTCCTAGAGGAGTCTGGTAGTCTTTTAAACCCCTCAAAGACTCCTTTCTCATAGGCTTCAAGGAAGCAATGGATTCCCAAAAAGGTTCAGCAAAGAACTGAAAAGAGCAAAATGGCTAAGGAATACCAATGTATGCTAACTTAAATAATTTAAAAGTATAAGAATAATTTCTAGGAAGGAATCTTATATCCCAGAGTTTTAAAAAAGTAAAAAAGCAACATAATGAGAAGTACCTACTGCATAGTGTCAAAGAAATGATAATGGGATAGGACAATTAGTTTCAATCCAAGGAAACATCGCAAAAGTATATGAGGTTCATTCAAAGTGAATGGAGGGGTTTACTGCAGTTTGGTGGTTTTTTGTTTCTTTCTCTTTTTTAACAGACTTATAAAATTTTAGATATTCAGGTGAATATTATTCTTATTCCAAAATAAATGCATTTTAAAATAGCAACTGCATTTTGTAATGCCTAGTCAGGTTCCTTACCAAAACTGAGCTTTGAGCTTTTCACTTCAAGTTCATCATTAATGTCAAATAAACTTCTTCACTGAGAGATTGCTATCCTATAAGAAATTAATAATTTTTTTTCTTTTACTAATTCTTTTCAGGATACCATGGACATATACTAAGCTAGTGATACATCACATTTTTTCTCCCCTCCAAATGATCATTCTCCACACTTACCTTGCCACTAAGGACTTCTTCCACTCGCTCTTGGGGTGTCTGTCCAGCTTTCTGCCTCACCAAAACGTATACTGAATTGACCTTAGGACAAGACCTTAGCAACTTTTCCAGAAGCACCTTTCCTAGGAAACCTGTAGCTCCCGTGAGGAGGACATTCTTGCCTTCATAATATTCTGGGATTGAAACCATTTTGACCCTAAGAAAAACATAACAAGGAAGCATTAGTTCAATAATTTATATTCATTCTTAGTAAAAAAAAAAAATCTCTCTTGGTATTCATATAAATATTTTAAAAAACAAGCGAAAATCAAAACTGAACATTTAAAAGAGAAGATTGTAACCTTTGGTTAACTGTACTAGATGATCTCAAAAAATTCTTTCCAGTAATTAGAACCCAAATCTTTATATATCCTCTGTCAAATTTTAAATACAACTGAATGGTGTTTCTCTGTTCTCCAGAGGAATGTGTAACACCAAAGGTCAGCAATAAGACTCAATTGCCCCACTTATAAAACACCACTGGGTGTCAGATTTACCTATCACCAGTTCAAAGAAGAAGAGGTAACACCAAGTCTTTTCTCCTACTCATCTCTCAGTAACAGGATAACCAAAAAAACATTTAAATTTCCCTTCTTAAAAAAGGCCTAGTAAGAAAAACATTGTCTACCTTATCCTCTCTACCCAAATTCCACCAAAATAGTAGAAAAAAGATACACTAAGATAACAAATAAACAAAAGAACCATGATGAATAAAGACAAAAACAAAGTGAAGGATTCATGCAGTATGTTAGTACCCTAAGCTAAAGCATATTGAAAACAATGTTCTGTACTGTTTAGAAACACACACATATAGGATAAGATATTAACAGATGTATGAGGAATACAAAACAACCAAAGAAGCAGCTTTGATTATATTTATGTCTTATTTAAACTAGAGAGTGGATATATGTGCTCTACATCCACATTTTTCATAATTAAAAAAAGAGTTCAGAGCAATTTGAAAACAAGAAATAATTCCATTAACAAGCAAAAATGGAGGGAGTAGTATTTCTAGAAAAAAAAAGATGAGACTGAATTGATTGAGATGCCTAACAGAACAAACAGCAACCTAAGCCAAGAGGTTTAAGAAGGGACTAAGGAGGCAAGAATTATCTTTACCAATCCCCTAAATAGAGCCTAGGAGAAAATGCCAAACTCAGGATCAAGAAGCAAAGTAATTAAGGCAAACCAAGGTAATTAAAAGATGCTCAAAGAACAGAAGAACTCATGACAGTGTTATATCGTACATAAATTTTGGGTCCAGGCTTAGTATCCAAATGTGTCTGAGCATCTAGATGGGTGCTGGGAACAAAAGAGAAATAGGACTAAGCCTAAAGTTGCTCCAAACATCCAAAAATGGAAGTGGGGGAGGCAGGAGGTCAGGATAGAAAAAACAAAAATCATCAAAAGAAAAAAGTCTGTATAGGACTTGACCTCCAGAATAAATGTTAGGGCCTCAGTCTACCTTTTGCTGCTGACCCTTAAAGCAATCTCACACAGAGTTCTCAATCAGTAAACCTATCTGGGGAAAAATTATTTTGGGAAACAGATCTTTAAAAACCCAGGAAGCTGGACTGGGGCTGTAGCTCAGAGGCAGAGCGCATGTGCGAGACACTGAGTTTGATCCTCAGCACTATATACAAATAAAATAAAGGCATTCAAAACAACAACAACAACAACAACAACAAACAAACAAAAAAAAAACCAGGAAGGCAATATTAGCAACCAAAACCAACTATTGCAGTCCTTCATCAAGAATACCAAAGATAACTAGATATTTTAAAAACACGTACAAAAGAACAACCAAAATGAAAATCAAAAGAACCAACTAAACTACAAAGGAAACTAAAATAATGAAAAATTTAAAGAGAATTTAAATTCTTATAAATATCCTCTAGCCCATTTATAAGAATATTGCAAAAATAATAATATCTATGAAAAAGGAACAAAGAATATGAAAACAATGGAAATCAGCAATTTAGACAGAGGCAGAAAAATCCAATAAATAAATTATTAGAATTAAACCAGTGAATTTAACAAGGTCACCAGATACAAAGTTTGTCTGGGAAAAATGTATTTTTAGACATATATACACACACTCATATGTATACACACTTATTTATATACACATGTACCAACAGATAATGAAGTTTAAAAAAAATTCCAAACTATGCCACTTATCATCAAAAATACAATATTCTAGGAAATAATAAGTGTTGACAAAGATACAGAGAAATTAGAACCTTCGTATGTTGCTAGTAGGAACGTAAAATGGTTTAGCTGCTGTGGAGAACAGTTTGGTATTTCCTTAAAAAGTTAAAACATAAAATTTTATGACCTATCAATTCTACTCCTAAATACATACTCCGAAGAATCTAAAACAAGTACTCAAACAAGTTGACACAAATTTATAGCAGTACCATCATTCCTAATAGCCAAATAGCACAAACAGCATGCACGTCAATAACAAATGAATAGTGTCTCTCTCTCTCTCTCTCTCTCTCTCTCTCTCACACACACACACACACACACACACACACACATCCATTATTCAGCTTTAAAAAATAATTAAGTACTAATTCATACAACATGGATGAGCCTCAAAAATGTATCAAAAGTGTAGAAGTCAGACACAAATGGTCACATATTAAATGACTTGTTTATATGAAATACTCAGAATGGATAAATCCATAGAGATAGAATGCAGACTGGTGGCAGCCAGGGGTTGGGAGCAGAGAGTACAGTAAAGAATAGAGAGATGCTGTTAAGGAGTTTTATTTTACAACAATGGAAAAAATAAGAGAGCTCATGTATAATGGCATAATTTAGTGTGAACATACTTTATATACAGAGTTACAAAAAATTTTGCTGTAAATGGATAATTATGAATGTAATGCACTCCACTATTGTCATGTATGTAAGAAATAAATTTTTAAAAAGGGAGAAAAAAAGAAATGTTTTCAAACTAATGGACTGATGGATGCATAACACTGTAACTGTATTACATGCCACCTTCAAAATTCTTGGCAATGTCATAGCATTGACAGGTGGGCCCTTTAAGAAATGATTAGGCCATGAGAACTCCAGAGTAACTGAAACTCAAATCACTGCTAGAAGAACCATGGACAAGTATATTACTTAGGAAGAATGGTATTAACTATTAGAGTTGAATAGTCCCTTATTAAATGATCTAGTAATTCCACTTTTAATTATATACCCACACAGCTGAGTAGATAGTTACACCAGTAGACTGATAAACAAATAAGTTATAGCAACACTCTTTTTATTGACCAAAAACAAACAATAACAACAACAACAAAACCCTAAAGCAACCCATGTTTGTCCACAGTTCAATATATAAACTGTGGTACATTTGTATGATGGAATATTTTAGAACAACAAAAATGAAGGAACAATTGTTACATACAACATGGATGGATCTCACAAAAAGAACACCAGATCAATAAGGCCAGGTATAAAGAGTGTATTACATAATGCCATTTACATAAAGTTCAAAAATAGGTAAAACTCATCTATGGTTAAAAGTCAAAATGATGGTTATCTAGCAGGGAAGAAAAGGAAGTAACCTGAAGAAAATGTGAAGGCTTCTGGGATACTGGTAATGTTCTATTTCTTGATCTGGGAGGTTCACTTTAAAATGTTCAAGAAATTGTCCATTTAGGATGTATGGACTTTCTTAATGTATGTTGTATTTCAATTAAAAGTCTACTTAAAAAAATTAAAAGAGGGCCACCATATGTCCTGGTTTGCCTAGTGACAGTTTTGAAAAACGGAGCTCTATATAAAATTAAGCTGGGATAGCGCATATATATATATATATATATAATTTTATATAGAGCTCCCTTTTTCAAAACTGTCACTATTTGCATAATAAATTATATGGTTATCCTAGTTGCTGCTTATAAGCTGCTTCAGGTCTGAGACTATTTCTAGATTTCAATGACTGAAAGCTTAATTGGAACTATAAAGTATAATAACCTTATGTGAGAAATATGAAGAATAATTCTGCATCAATATATCCAAACAATCTGATAGGTATTAATGATAGCTACATACTAAATAAATATTAGTGTCCTGAGAACAGAATCAGTTATATCTAATTTTCTAAGCTTTAAGTTGGACACAGTGGCACACTGTGCTGTAGTCCCAGCTACTCAGGAAGCTGAGGCTGGAGGATCACAAATTCATGCCCAGCCTGGGAAACACAGTGTGACACAACATATGGGAAGTGGGGTATAGGGATAGAAGAAAAGAGAAGCAATTCCATGGAACAACCAGGTAGAATAAGATCCAAGTATTACATAAGGCTCACTAATGATGAGAAAAATATACAATATAGGGAAGAAAGGGAAAAACAAGTATTAAACACAAACTATACCTTTCATCCCTTCAGAACTATTTTCAACAAATCTCCAATAACTTTTCTTACCTAAGGTCACTGAGCACATCTGTAGGACACAAACTTAAACCAGTATCTTCCAACTAAAAAACACATTTATAGAAAGCATAAAAGTGAGATAAGTCATCACTAACTCACAAACAAGGACTGAATGCACAGTACTAGCAAAGAAGTTCAAAGAAAGTGTAGGGGCTGGAATAGATGATCCTAAAGGTTGTACCCATTTCTAAAGTTGTAAGGAAACTTACAACTACAGAAGGAAAACTAGCCTTCTTCATGAGGTCTTCTGGCTTTTACTAAATGCATATAAGAATTTGCTCCACAGACATTTTTAATATGAAATAAAGTGAATTCTAGTTRAAGATTCCTTAAAGAATGCCAATGCAGAATTAACTGGTTCAGGTGGACTCTTGAACAGCTAAAATTCGTAGGCAACTAAACTTTACCATGATTTCCCTGAGGACCATTTCCAAAGGCAGATAACTAGAGTAAGAAAAGATAAAGAGGTCCACTGTCAAACTTAGAACTGGACTCACAAGACCACTCAGGTGTACTTAATTATAATTACCATCAATTTGAATAAAACGATATCAATCTCAGGTTAAGAAATATGCACATATCAAAGATCAGTGTATTTACTTCCAATCCTAACCCATTGTACGACCTTACATTGAATGAATCATTTATTGGAAATGATGTGAGTGAACTATACCATTAACATACAATGAACATGTCTG